GTCTAAGGAGGTGAGGTAAGCGTCTGTTCTTCTCAGGTGTCGAATTCCATTGACGAGCAAGAATGTGCTGTCATAAATTTACAACGTATAGTAAATTACAAATATTGTATGTAAATCTAAGAGGATATTTTTCCCAGCCTACTGGTCGTAATCCGAACATTATAAAATTGGGTATGCAATGCCGCTATGAAAACTCTCCCCATTCAACCGAGGAAGATATTTACAGCTGAGAACTAAAATTTCATTTCAGGTATTACAAAAAATGTTAATACAAACTTGCCACATTATTTGTCAATAATGATGATTATCTTCTGACCCTTTTTCAAAAAATTCAGTATGTGGTAGCGATAAAAGATTTTTAAATGTCCTTTAGCATGTAAACCGAAAGAAATAGTTATGACAAAATTTTGGTTAAGTTAAAAGTATTGCAAAACCTGCCTCAGTGTTCAAAGTCGAAATGACATGAAAATTTGACGATGGGGTCACCATGCAGGCTACGAGGATATTTGGAAAACTGATGAAGACGAATCAGTGGGTGTTGGGGCTGAATGGAGGAATGCCGGCTTCCACCCCAGCAACAGCGCCCGCCGCATTCACCACGTTTGGTTGGAAGTCTTGCTCGACAGAGACGGGGGGCGCCATAAAGAAAAATATGTATCGGGGCAGCAAGCGAGCCGTAAAAGGGGCGTCATAGGCCGCGCCGTAAAGAAACAATTTGACGTTTTGTTTTACGTGGAAATTATGGGCCTTCCCCGCGTGCCCGCTACCGGCTTAACAGGCGCCACCACCTCCGGCACGGAGAAAAGGGGGGAGGGGGGGGCGCATACAAGCAATATAGCTGCATAAGCAACCTCCAACCCCACACAGCTCCCCCGTGAGGAGGATCCACACATCAACAAGTGCGGGTTGTACTGCTCACCTGTTGGACGGACTTCGCAATAAAGACGACGTACGCAGTCAGGCCGAAGTAGTATGTACAAAAAAGGGAGGTCGTTACAAAATTTCTGCAAACAAAAAAACAAACCAATCACCAATTAGATTATGTCGAGGTCGAAGCATTTCTTCTTTTTCAGAGGTGGAGGTTTTTTCTCGGTGGCCCCTGTCAGTGATTCCACCAAAAGTGTGTATAGGCTGCCGTCCGAGCGGACTGAGGGCGAGGCGAGGCGCTGTTGCTGCTGGCGATGGGTCCCAGTGGTGGCCCTAGAGCGGCGCGCACTGCGGCTCTGCCGGCCCCTCGAGAAGCCTTGGTCCCTCACTCGACAGCTATACACACCCGCCGGGACCACGCCGAGGCTGTGGGGACGACACGATGCAGTGGCAGCACTAGGAGGCCAAGGATACCCCGGCAGGTTCCTATACAGCAGTGGATTCATTAGGCAAATGACAGGGGCTCGGCGCCTGTGAGAACGAGGGTAGGCCACACCGCAGCACACACATGAACTGCAGGCAAAGTGTTGCCTGCCTATCAGGCGATATGGGCGGATATGGGACCTTTCATTTTTGGGCTGAACTTGCAAAACCATAACGGCGAATGTTTGGCATACTTTCTGGATGATCCCTATAACTAGGGTACAAGTAAACACAACAGTAGTACTGTCGGGAATAAGGGGCGGGAGCTTCCAAAGCTGAAAAGGGAAACCTGGCAAATCAAAGTGACCCGCGGTGCCTCTCCGGCCAGGCCGTGCCCGTCGAGTTCCTGGACCACTAGACGCCGCCGGGGGCTTTCTATTTCCACAGATTGACTGCCGGGAAGCGCAATAAAACGACCCGTCGCCGCCCCCTTGTGCGCCACAAAGGTCGCGCCACCGACATACCGCGGCAGGGTGGGGCAGGGGACAGAAACGGTGGGAGATCGTGGCTTCGATCAGCGCAGCTGTGGTGGAGGGCTGCTCTCCCGCTCTTCGCATTGCCTCCACAGTGCGCAACCCGAGGGCAAAAACACGCTCTCGTGGCACGAGCGGTTCAATTTTCCTTTATCTCCCACCCCGAACAACTGGGTTGCCCCGCCCCCCTCCCCCAATAGCTATTCCCCTTTTTATACCCCCCTCTCCCTAACCCATTCTCCTACACCCTGCTTTGCAAGTCCATACGGGAAGAAACGTAGGATGTTACCTACCTTTCCTTACCTTACCTAAGAAGTTCTTTTCTTGAACACAGAATATTTTACATCCTGCTTGACTATGTTTGCAACTCTCTAAGATATCGAGTGACTTACCCGGTGGATTCTCCGGTTAACTTTGTCATTTCTATAGCGTTTAGGGATTATACCAGGAGACCGATTAACGCCGCGCACTTCACTTCGCCGCGTGCGGGTTTGCCTATGCTTGCTACCCTACGGCTCCTTCAGACCCCGTGCGAGTAGGCAACCCGCCCGCACATGCGCATGCTGTACAGTATAACAACGAAAGTGCGCGGCCCGAGTCAGCCACCTGGTTCATGTTTGCGGTGCGTACAATGAAGGAGCACGACAAGCAGGTGATTTAGCGAATGGGCGAGCGCAGATATCTAGGAAGTGTCGTGGTGTTGGACGCCACATGGCGGGCCATGATGTACAGTCCACCGGAACTTAGCAGGTGTACCTCAAGTTAAAGAAAACAGCGAAATCACGAAGGTAATCCCGTACTGAGCCTCAATTACTATATTCGCATGTATGAAAGCCCGGGGGATGACTCGCAGTCCGCCGGTACACTGCGCCGTCAAGGGGGACAATAATCACCGAGCGGTCTCATCGTATAATCGCCCTTGATGACGCACTTTAACAAAGCCAGGCCAGTACCCCAGCCAAAAGGTATAGACAGTGTGCCGCGCTGCGTGCTGCACTCCATAAGTCTTAGCAACACTCACTCAAGAGGCAGGCTACAAGAAGCCCTGCGGCAAGAAGGGACGGCATTGCATCAGCCGCACCACATTATCACGTGCAGGATTGAGTGATGAACAGTCCATCACACGACCGTCTGATCGGCGGCCATTGTCTTGAGTAAAGTGGAGCACCGTAAAAAAAAAGGTATTGCAAACTACAGCATTGAAAAACAAGTGTACGCGGATCTACAGAAAAACTGGATTTCACCGATTATCTCGGCTGAAAAAAACTGATTCATAGTTCCAGCAGTGTAGCCCAAACGTGCCTATGGGTCTTGTGTTGGTAAAGCACCATGCGGTCCAGTAGTACTTACCCTGCACCCGTTGCATAAGGCCGCAGCTGCCGCGGCCCGGAGGAGAAGGCCTTCTCGGCGGTGCCAGCCATGTCCAGCGCCGGGATACGCAGCCGCACGCACAGGGTCTGCGCCGACTCCACTAGGATCTGGACGCAGTGTGTGCAGATGAAACCAATGACAAAGGTGCCGATGAAGCCGAAGACGAGCCCGCCGTGCATGAAGGCCATGGGCATAGCGAGGATGCCCGAGCCTAGGCTGCCTTTGAGCAAGTGCGCCAAGGCACCCATGTTCCTGGTAACAAAAACATTTTTCTATCAACACAAATATATTTTTTACTGGTTTTATCGTCTAGTAAAAGGAGTTTCCTTAATGAAGATTTCAACACTAGAAATCGTAGAACGAGGATTCATGCTCTCCGGAGAGCGAGAATTTGCCCCAAATTTCCTCGCTCTCTGGAGAGCGAGGTTTGATTTCCTCGCTCTCTGGAAAGCGAGGTTTGATTACCTCGCTCGACTAAAGCGATAGATTAAAGAAAGTCACTTTATTTGAGTGCACTGGAAACGCAAGTGTGTGAATGTCGTTCACCTGTAGATGTGTGAATATTCATTCGTACACTTAGAGGGGTAAAGGTGTGAACTTTTCCTAGAAAATTCACACGTTCACCCCCATAAGAGTACGGATGGATATTCACACACCTACGAGTGTGCGGCATTCACACACCTGCGTTTCGAGGGTGATAATTGAGAAACCTCGCTATTTTTGAGTGAGGATTTCTGAAGTTAATCACTCTTGATTTGAGTAAGATTTAAGAATCATTCTCAATAAGAGCGTGGTTTCTAAATCATCACTTTAATGGATCAAGGAGAAAAAATCTCGCTCTTTTTCTGTCAGAATTTTTACTCCAGTATTTGCAGTGAAATGACACTGTCGGCGGGACATGGCGAGGAAGGCCTGCTCATGGCTTTCTGCCGTCAAACTTTCAGCTCCCAGCCGCTATGTAACGGCGTTGCAAAATAACTTGATTGTTGTTTCCCGCCGGGGAAGGAAACTTTGTTTCCAATGGCACAGCGGCACTGCAAGAGTACCGTGAATTCTTTGGAGTAGTTTACCGACAAGTGTCCGATTCCTTTGCGAGAAAGCGACTTTGAAATAGCAAAGCAAAATGCAAAATCAGTTCTCGAACGCATGATGGACAACGAAATTGCAATGAGGCGCGTTTTTAAAGCAGCTTCAAGCTCCATTGATTTTGTAAAACAGTAGGATCAGGTCATGACGACTCATACTTACGAGTATTGGTTGTCCGTATCTCGGTGTGCAAACGGGTCGTACATGGCGTCGGGATCTTTTTCTGCCAAGGTTACCCTACGGACATGACAGAAAATTATACACACTTGCCACAGCGCTGTTAGTAGCAACTCCACAAAACATTCTTTTAAAAAGAACACAATAAAAAACAAGAGAAATCGCAATTCTAAAATTTGTAATGAATTATTTTTCTGTGTAATTCACTAGAGTATAATCAAATATAAAATTGAGGGTTTGTTCCATTACTGTGCTGGCAGAATTAAGATGATTGTCGTCTGCAGCAGCAACAGGTCCGAATAACACAAACTATCAGGTGCCCGTGCATAATGCTAAACGTCAAAGAGACGTGATAACGATAAGATAGCGGCCGCAGGGACGCCGGAGAAATGTGTGCTGGTGGAAATAATGACTTACGTGGATGACATGTTGAGTGTTGTTTGTGAGGGCGCCGAGGCGATGCTAAAAACTTCTTTTTTCTTCTCCATCTTTGCCTAAAGAAATGAAAATAAAATACATAGAATCAGCGAAACCAGTCAGGTAAACTTTTCAATGAATGTGTTTTACGGCAAGGAATGGTGGTAATACTGCCAAGGACAAGCACACGTGTGCTAACTCCTTTCAACAAAATGCGTTGATAAGAGACGTTATGAAAATTTGCGTAACTATATAAAGGTACTCTGAGTCTGAAAAACTTCAAAGTCGATCACGTGAGAAGTGTGGCTAAAACGGAACAATTCACGTACCACTCGACTAGAGAAGTGCCGAATGGCAGAGTACAGCACGTTCGTCTCGCTAAGCCCGTCACGCTCAAACAGCCGGTAGAATGGTGCGCTGCGAAACTAGACCAGAGAGGCAGGCAGCGAACCTTGTGTCGGTGTCGAACCTTCTCTTGTTCTTGGGATTGCCCAAGGGATTGGTGTATTCCAACCTCCAGCCCCCCGAATGGTCCTCTTTCTGTTCACACAGTCACGCATGTCGGATCTGACACCGTCGTTTGACAGACCGGAATCAACACTTGCTGACCAGATCTGGCACTAGCGGGCCTGCAACACGCGACCCGCGGCCCGTTGCGCATGAGCGACTCTTTCTGATGGCCTTGCATTTGGTGACGCAGATTTGCCTATGGCGACCCTCGTATATAAGGAATACGCCAAAGTTCCGTCATTTCCTGCAGGAGGCTTATCCGATTAGCTATCAAGAATACTACGTCTGGCGACAAGCCTTAATCATTATATTGCCAGTCATAATAGGAGTGAAAGAGCGCAGCGGATTTGCAAATGAACTTATCAGACGGTTAGTAAACATGTGTGCTTGTGAACATAGGGCAATCATCCACGCAATTCCACTCACAAAACTTTGAGGTAATATTGTTTTTTACTTTGTTTTTCGTATAAAATAAAACAAAAACCTTCAGCGTCTCACCGGTGAGGTACACAACAAAACGAGCATTTTTTAGGCCTAGAGGTCAGGTCTTAACTTTACGGGTTACCCCTTCCCCTGAAGATCCTCAAATACATTTTTAGAACAATATTGTTTAGGGGCCGTTTTGGTTACAAGTAACGCCATCTAGCGCCTTATCGGTTAAAGAGAGCCAGAAGGACGCATTGTCCCCCAAAGCACATTCCTTAGACAAGTCACCTTCGAGCGAATTCCCTCCCCCTTTTTTGACCTTTTCTATTCAATTTAAAAACGTTTTTGGACCAAAAGATGAGTAACAGTGTAGTGATATCGTCGTAAACGGAACATCTTCGATCAGTTACACATTTGCAATTATTCCTCGACCCTAGTATCAGCAGCACTAGCTATGGCGTGTGCACTAAACTCAACAGTCTGTGCACTTTTCCCCTTTTCCCCCTTTCCCGAGCCCTTTCCCTTCCGGGCTCAAGTCGATTCCAAAAAAGCTCCAGTATTTAGATTCCTCCCCGCCATGACTCCAAAGACACCACGCACCATTTCCATGAGAAAAGCTCTCTATAAGTCTAGCACTGAGTTTAGAGATGAGCGAACATTGACTTCGAAACAACATTGTTCGGTTTGTTCGAAGATTTTTAGGCCAATTTTGTTTGAGTTCGTTCAAATTTGAACTGGCCTCGTCGCCCACCTCTAGCTACGTTATAGTGATAGACTGTAAAATTTACCACAAGATAAAACGCTAGCTCGAGCAGTACGGCATTTCGACTTGCGAGATGCCAAAGCTTGTCAACTCTGCGAAGAAAACGATGCGCACGCGACTGGAGACCGTTACATTGTAGTTACAATTCCGTTACTGAGACTCTCGCAACATCTCACGACGCCCCGCCCCCAACTGTTATCCAACGCACACTGTTCGAACTATTTCCTCACTGCTAACTACTCACTCTCCATTTTCTTGTTGTAGCTATCTTAACAAAAAACAAAAAACAAAAAACAAAAAAAACAACAAAAAAAACACACCATTGCGCCGGTTGTGTCTTTGCAGACTCCGCGCGAACGGGGTTGTCCACTCACAAGGGCCATTGGCTATCAGGCAGAAGGAGTAGGCAACCCTACTCGCACCAGGGCATTGCAAAGAGACACCCGGTAAAAGCACAAATGATAAATCAGCAGCTCAACCGGTATACAATTGTACGCACTAGATAGTAATCAAATCCACCGTTTAGCACACCCCGCGTCTTCAAGCTGCAACTGACATTCGACGCATCAACAAAAGTCACACAGAAGTCGACAGCCTTGGGTTCGATACCACCTGGTCGTTGGGAGCAACCAATGAACCACATCCCCATGCATGTCTCATCCGTGTGCGGAACTCACAATGTGTCAGGTTGCTCAGAAAGTTGTAGGATTTCACAAAATAAGAATGGTATTTTCCTGCTGTGAGCTGAGTGCGAATACAGGTTTGGAATCAGCAAGAGACCGCCTTACATCACTCAGACACACCAAACCACACGCATGTCCTGCGAGACCGCACGCCTCTCTTTGCCTTAAGTCCCTACGCAACGAGTTACTGAGTGGGTCCCCACGCGTGCACACCGGGATGCATCTGACAAAGGCGGTGCGCGCGCACGCACACCCTCGTATTCTCTACACTATATAGCTACTTCTACAGAAGTAAAGTTGCGTTTTTCGATGACCAAGACAGTCTTATCTTTCAATACGCAGTGCAATCTGCCTGTAAGTATCAGGCTCGGTGCGCATCTCGGGTCGTACCGTGAGTCGGGGTCCTTGAACTGCCTCAAAGCCGGCTCCCGTCGGGCGCAGAGTTGCGGAAGGAGCCGCGAGTCCTTCTCCTGCGCTGACCTCACCGCCACTGGCACACGTATACGCAAAGCGCCTTGTCGTGGCCGCGCGGCGCGCGCGTTTAGCAGATTGTATGTGGTGGCGGGAGCTGGGGGCTCCCTCGGCCCCGCCACGCCCCACCACGCTTCGCCCCGCCTCGCGCCGGCAACGCCCCACTACACCCCGCCCCACCCCGCCC